GTGTTCATATTCTGCTTGTGTTGGAGAGACTGTTTGTTCCATGGGCTCATCGCCCAGTCCTAGGTTATGGAGATTGTTTCTTAATAATGCTGACTTGTTCTGAGCCATTTGTCTGTTATTCGTAATATGGTACGGTGTGGGGGGTTTTACTTGACTGTTGCCTGCAGGATGATATGGCGTGGAACGTTTTCCTGGTGTGTTATTTTGGAGGCGTTTGTTCCTTGTTCGTGCACCTGGGAGAATGCTCATGTTCCTATCCTAATTCAAAAAAGAAAAATAACAAGTCAAACTCGTTTGAAATCATCTGTTACCTTGACCTGATTGATTGGCGAGGGGAGAGGGGCACTGTAGAACGACTCGTTTTGCCCCGTACATGAATTACGGCTTTAGATTTGATAGCCTCGTGCTTAGCTTCGCCGTTAGTCGAGTCTGGGCTTCTTAAGGGCTGACAATTTACTTTTTCCGTTGGGATCTCGAGCTCGAGTCCCGGTCCGATCCCGTCCCAGGTGCACAAAAATAAGGGGAACATAAGTTATATTTCGTACATACGGGTACAAAAATAAGGGAGACATAAGTTATACTCCGTACATACGGGCATGACAAGCTTGTTATTTCAAAGAATCACACAATAGGCTATCGTCCCTTCCTAAGAGAGGTCAATGTGCATGAAGTATAGATCAGTATCTAACGTTAATATAGCAAATAGGACTGGGGACGTGCTTAGTGCGTAGTGGCCATGATCCCACTTTGACAACTCACACTCACGACGTACCAACCCCGTCGTTACAGCAAGGCGTGGATTTTGTATAGATATCAGACATAATTTTGATTTCATGCGAAGATCTGACCCTGGTTGGTTCGGTTATTTCAAAAGCTTGCCTACAAATTTCTCAAGTTGGTGTTTGTAATGAGAGGGCGAGGCTACGACAACTGGGAAGTGAAACTCTGGCTGACTTTAGATCTAGAAAAAACTAAAATTTTGGCTAGAAAATCCCCACAGACGGCACCAAATTGTTTGACTAAAAAGAGTTAACTCTTTATATAAAGTAATTAAATAGGAAGATTTGAGATAAATCCTAGCCAAAGATAATTCATTCTAGATCTGAGACATAGGATAAGAACAAGCAAACATAGCTGAACATAAAATTTAACCATAGCAATAATTGAATCCCGTAATATAAGAAGAGGATGATGATTTTCATAACATTGAATAATAATGAAGAATACTTAGACAAAAAGGGGTCACCGATCTTTAACAAGGTTGGCACCAATACATTTGATATGATGAGATTAACGATATATACTGAGGATCTGAGCTTCCTTGCTTCTTTCTCCTCAGCGAGGAGACATAGATGAAGACCCCTCTTCCTCCCTGAAAATATGTCTGTGTATGTGAGTTTGTTCCAGCCCCCCTTCTTCATTCTCTCACCTAGTATATATACTAGATATTCTCATTTACACAATGGTCATTAGCTAGAGTACCTAAGTTATTTAGCTGTTTTACCGATTGACCCTCTGAAATACCGTAACATCCAATTCTCCATACAAGTATTCTGAGTACATGACCTCGGCCTTAGCCGAGGTGCTCATCGCTATAGCGTTGTACGAATACGACTTCGTTCCAAATGACTTTACCGTTCCTCTTCACGCAGATTCTTGTTTAGTCAGATTTCGACCCATACAAGACCCAACACAATTTGCTGCACACCTTTCTGCACATTAAAGCTAAGGATTAGCAGTAGTCAACACACCAAGGATGGCAAATAAAGCACAACATAATTGGGAAGGAAGGAAAAAGGAATCTATTCTTGCTTATAAGCATGGAGAAAAAAGAATCTTAGTGCGAAAGCAGCTAGTGTAGTATGAATCTCCTATTAGCAAACACAATTTCAATCGTACAAATGCATCTTGTTACAACGTGACATTCAGGAAAACCACACGAGGATATTATGATACCCAATTATCAGATGAAGCTAAAAACAAGATGTTATCTCACTCTTCAATCCTTAGATTATGCAACAATGAAGGAATTTCTTAAATTGCAGTGAACAACTAAATGAATTGTTCCCTGTAACACCAAAAACTTGTTGTCCTAGTAGATAATAGTTGCGCCCCACAACCGGCAGTCCTGTTTGACACAAGCACGGTGCAGGTGCATATCGCTTTGTACTTTTTTGGGATTTTTTGATGATACAACTACCTACTTAGATAGAAAGTAGAACCTGAAGATATTTTTCAAGCATTCAAATATTAAGGTACTCCTAGCAACAAAACTAGAGCGAAGGTACTACTCCTAGCAACAAACTAGACTGCTATGTAATGACTGAAAAAATTCTCGTAAATATGAATGAGCTGGAAAGAGACTTCATATCCAAGGGAATAGCAAGTAATAAATAGAATATTCCACATAGTATATCCAGAACATTGTTCTAAGGTAATTTTTATTAGCAACTGAACATCACTATTAGCAAATGCTTAGACATGATTGATACATTCTTAGATGGGATTAAGCGTACCTTTGTTGAATATACTCTTTCATGAGATTCATCAAGAATCAAGTTTGTGGCCTGATCGAATCCTCTCAAAACATCCTGAAAAGAACCAATTAATCAGCAAAATAAAGGGTCTCCAGTCAAAGAGAGCCTTGGAGAAATGGTCAACTTGTCTCCATGTGACTTATAGGTCATGGATTCGAACCGTGGAATTAGCCACTGATGCTTGCATTAGGGTAGACTGCCTATATCACACCTCCTTGGGTTCCCTGAGCTTTGGAACTACGCCCGTAAGTATCTTTCTTCTTTTTTCTTCATTGTACTTCTTGTTGGTCGACTCTGATTGTATTGACTGCCTTTTCTTTATGCAGCTGAGGTCGAACCCCCTCCTTTGGTCGAGGATATTCACGACTGCGTTAGTCGGGTCCTTCCTCATACGGTGGGGATTCGCGAATGGTCGGCCTTCCGCGAGAAGTTCGGACCCAAGCCCCCCGTAATTTTTCTTATTTTAGGTCTTCGTTGTTGTGTCTTTCTAATTGGCCGCTTTTTACCTTTGTGGGGATTGATCTCGACCTTCTTCCTTTATTTTGTTGTTAGCACGGAGAATTTCGAGAGCTTCTACTCCTGCATTCTGGCAAGCGACCGCTACAGCGGGATCTGCCTTGGCTGCGATCGCGACTGGGTCTACCCGGTCATCTACCTCCGTTTGGCCTTTGGCTTTAGCTAGACCAACTCGACCAGCGGCAGCCTCAACATCTAAGACTTCGGCTCTTCTTGTGCTCCATTTAGTAAACGAGTCATCCCAGAGTGAGGAGGACTTGGTTCCACGTAAGAAGAGGTCTGTGGATGTCGGCAATGGAATAGTTAGAGTAGTGGACTCTACAAGGGGCGACTGTGAGCCGGCCATTGCTACGCCTTAGAGTGACGCAAATCCATCATCCGAAGCCCCGCTATCTACGGGGGTCGTAGAAGGTGCTCCTTTACCTGAGGTTGAGGTTGAAGTTGGAGGGTCGTCTGAGGCTGCGGACACCGTACTAAGTAATGAGCCATCATCCTCGGGACCGATCAATGTTACCTCATCGGTTGAGGGGAGAGGAAAAGTCATTGCCGAGGACGATTATGAAACTGGCTCTAACATTGATCCCCAGGAGGTGTGGATGCTGAGTGAGGGATTTACTCGGGTGGAAGTAAGGTTAGAAGGGTCTACTCGTACTATCGTGGTCCCTATGGATCGTGACCTGTTGGTGAACACGGAGGATATGGTCCCTTCCTTGGTTCCCCTTTGTTCCGATGTGGAGGGCAGGACCCTAGAGACGTTGAACGATGCTGCCCTGTCGTTGGGCATAGCCAGCCTCGCCCTTAAGGTAAGTTTTCCGATCCTTCTAGTTTTTGTGCCTTGCACCCTTCTCTTTTTTTAGACTGACTTTCTTCATCTATTTTTAGACCATTATCTTGGGATTGAGAGTGTTCGCCGAGAGGAGAAGCGCAAAACCATTTTTAAGAAGATGGAGAGGAAGTACCGTCAATACCACATCAAACATCGCGTGATCTGTGGGCGGCTTGGCGAGAGTTGCAATTTCTAAGCTATCAGGGACGAGCTGAAGCAGAAAGATGATGAGCTAATGAGAGTCATCAGTAAATGCAGCATCCTCGAGGGGGCGCATAGGGACAAAGAAGAGGAGCTCGAGGTGAGCAGGGGGTGGAGGCCTAGTGCACAGACCTCCACGATCAAGTGCTCTCTCTGCGGGCCGAGCTCAAACAAAGTTTGGTCAGGGCTGATGCTTTGGGTGGCGAAGTTGCCCAGAAAGCAATGGAGGTTGCTGAGAGGGCAGCTGACTAAGAGAAGGCCGAGTTGGCTACGCGGGCGACTTTAACAAAAGTTGAGGCTTTGGAGGATGCGATCCACGTTCTTCGATTGAGCGGGCAAAAGATTTTGAGATGACTAAGCTCAGGGAAGCTCAGCTTGATGAGCAGATATGGGAGCTTGAAAAAGAGGTTTCTAGTCTTGAAGACCAAGTCGCCACTCTCAAGGCTTAAAAGTCTCAGCTATTGGCTCAATCATCCTCCTCTCATGCTTCTGCCTTTCCTGATGTCCCGCGGGATTTATATGAGAAGTGGATCCATGCTGAGGCCCAGCTGGACATATTTAAAAGTTTGATGATGGCAGGGAAAGTTCTTGAAGCCAAATTTGAGGATGTTCATACTAAGGCTCGTGCAGCTCGGATCACTGGCTATGATCTTGCTACCCTAGAGGCCGGTGATGGCAAGGAAGATGTGGACAGGATTGAGCAGGATGCTTGGTACGAGGACGAGTACGCCGAGGGCGATGGTGGAGATGATGCCGTAGGGTCAGGTGGCGAGTAATCGTTCTTCCTTTTGTTTGTAAGTTGTGCATATTTTTGCGGGCGTCTTTATTAGCCATTGTAATGAATATTGAAGTATGAAATGTTATTTTCTTCTATTCGGGCTTGTATGCTTCTTTCTCTGGTTCTGCCTTTTGGCTTCTTTTTAGTCGTAACAACTTGGTTTTTTGTGTTGAACGAGGTCAAATACCGAACTTAGGTAGTCATGTCCTGGGGCTAATTAAGTGTTAAAACTCAACCAAGATCAAACATAATCGGAGCTTAGTTTGAATTGTAACTTAGTTAATATATGCAAAGTCGAATGTATGTTAAACTTAACAATGGACGGAGGCTGTATGGGTGTTACTTCGAATGAAGTCGAATATAACCCGCAGTTAATTCGAACGAGGTCGAATATTATTTATTTCGAATGAGAATGTTATTTAATTCGAATAAGGTCGAATGTTATTTAATTCGAACGAGGTCGAATGTTATTTAATTCGAACGACGTCGTATGTTATTTAATTCGAAAGAGGTCGTATGTTTTTTAATTCGAACGAGGTCGAACATTTTTTAATTCGAGCGAGGTTGAATGTTTTTTATTCAATTTTGGCCGTGGGCCGAGTATATACTGAGGCAATGTTCTGGAAACATGGGCGAACATACATTTGTGCTTTGCTCATACTTGTAGAAATTTACATATTTTTCGGGCTAGCATTCCAGTCTCGGTCTATCTAGTCCCTTCATCGGGCGACCTGGAGATATGTTGAGAGGTTGGGCGATGAACTGACCGTCCCGTGCCTTTTTCGTCTGTACTTCGACTTGGAGTGTCCCCCTTGTCGTCTCGTTAAAAACCTCCTTGAGAAAACCCAATTGGGAAAAAAACTCAGGCGAGGGAAAAGGAGTATGACTTGGAGGACGCTTGTTCTTAAAAGTTGAAGTACTTGAAGTGGCCGATGTTCCAGTTGTTCGGTAGCGGTTTTCCTTCCATTGTTTCTAGTTGAAATGACCCTTTGTTTGCTGCTGCTATGATTTTGTATGGGCCGTCCCAATTTGTTCCTAGTTTACCCTCCCGCAGGTCTTTGCTTGCTTGTGTTTTGGCTTTAAGTATGTAGTCCTCGACTTTGAGTGGTCTGACTTTGGTCTTCTTGTTATAGTAGCGTTCTGCCTGTTGTTTTTGGGTGATCATCCTTATGTAGGCCATATCTCTCTGTTCTTCGGCTTTGTCGAGGTCCTGCCTTCTGTTTTCATCATTCCTCGACTCGCTCTCATGGGAGTATCTCAAACTGGGCTCTCCGACTTTGACTAGTATTACTATATTAGTCCGATAGACTAATGAGTAAGGCATCTCTCCTCTGCTCGTCTTTGTCATTGTGCGATATGCCCATAGCACTTCTGGCAGTAGTTCTGGCCACAGTCCCTTGGCGTCCTCGAGCTTTTTCTTCATGATGTTAAATATTGATTTGTTGGAGGACTCCGCTTGCCTATTACCCGCGGGTGGTATGGGGTGGAGAGTATTCTTTGGATATGCCACTTCTCAAAAAATTTGGCGACCTTTTTTCCAGTAAATTGGGGTCCGTTGATCTCTTTGGGGAGGCCGAAGTGGCACACAATGTTTTTCCATATGAAGGCGATCACTTCCTTCTCGCATATCTGAGCGAATGCTGTTTCTTCTACCCATTTAGAAAAATAGTCAGTTAAAACCAGAAGAAAATGTACGTTACCCTGTCCTGTGGGAAGGAGATCGACGATGTCCATCCCTCACTTGATGAAAGGCCACGGGGAACTAACCAAGTGGAGGTGCTCGCTTGCTTGGTGGATCATTGGGGCATACTTTTGGCAGTGCTCGTATCTTTTCACGAAGTCCGCAACCTCGTTTTTCATAGTAGACCAGTAGTAACCTGCCCGTATGAGGCCTCTAACTAGAGCTCGGTTGCCGGAATGAGTCTCGCAGTGGCCTTCGTGGACTTCTTCTAGGACGCGACGCGTTTGATTCGGGCCCAAGCATTTTTCTAGGGGGCCGCCGTACGTCCTCTTGTATAAATCATTGTGAATGATGCTGTACCTGGCCGCTTGCATTCGAAGTTTTTTGGCTTCCTTTTTATCATCTGGGAGTACGCCATCCTGCAAGTATGTAACGATACGGTTGCGCCAGGCCCAAGTTAGATTTATGGTCCTTACCTCAATTTGATATATCGACGAGTGGAGGAGGGTGACCACGTTTCCTTCGCCGGTTATACTTTTGGTGGCTGCCGCTAATATGGCGAGGCCGTCGACTTCGGTATTTTGTGCCGAAAGATTTGGTCAAGCTGGCATTCATTAAACTCGGGCAGTAATTTGCAGATTTAGACTTGGTATTTTTGCAGCCTTTGCTCTTTGATCTGGAAAGTCCCTGTGACTTGGTTGATGACGAGCTGCAAGTTGCAGCGTAGGATGACCCGCCTTGCTCCGTACTTGAGTGCTAGCCTTGGTCCTGCAAGCACGACCTCATACTCTGCCTCATTGTTAGTCATGTCTGGGCACCTTATGGACTGGCAAATTACTTTGCCTATCGAGACCTCGAGCACGAGTCCCAGTATGGATCTTGATGCATTGGAAGTACCATCGAAGTACAAAATCCATTGATCTTATATTTGCGGAGAAGCGTGGGCGGCTTCTTTTTCGACTTCGGGCATTATTTTTGCACTAAAGTTGGTAACGAAGTCGGCGAAGACCTGTGATTTTATTGCCGTCCGTGGTTGATACGTGATATCATGATCGCTCAATTCTATAGCCCACTTGGCTAAACTTTCCGATAGTTCGGGTTTATGTAAAATACTTCTCAAGGGTAAAGTTGTGACTACCGAGATGGGGTGGCACTGGAAGTAGGGTCTAAGCTTTCGTGAAGCTACGACCAAGGCCAATGCCAGTTTTTTGAGGTGAGGGTACCGCGTCTCAGTGTCGATTAAGTTTTTGCTGATATAATAGATAGGAGATTGCGTACCTTTGTCTTCTCGAACCGGGACTGCACTCACCGCTCCTTCGGATACGGCGAGGTAGACGAGGAGATGTTGCCTAGGTTATGCTTTGGCAAGCAATGGCGATGATGATAGATAAGCCTTTAACTCCTTGAACGTACTCGGAATTCCATAGGAGACCGTGTACTTCTTAAGTACGCCGAAATTTTTTTGACACATGTCGGACGATCGTGAGATGAATCTCAACAAGGCGGCGATGCGGCCAGTCAGCTTCTGAACCTGTGTTTTGCTGGTTAAGTGGTCTAGTATTCCCTCTATGGCCTTGATTTGGTTGGGATTGACCTCAATGCCTCTTTGTGACACTAGGAAACCCAAGAATTTTCCTGAGCTTACACCAAGCACACACTTCTCGAGGTTCAGTTTCATCCCATATCACCTGAGTATGTCGAAGGCCTCTTTCAGGTAGTCGATGTGATCTTCTTTCCATTTGGATTTTACCAACATATCATCTATGTAGACCTCCATGGTTTTGCCGAGTTGGTCTTTGAACATTCTTGTCACCAACCTTTGATATGTCACCCCCGTGTTTTCAGTCTGTAAAGCATCACCTTGTAGCAATACATTCCTTGGTGGGTGATGAAGGTGGTCTTCTCTTGGTCCTCCTCTTTCATGAGGATCTGGTTATAACCCGAGAAAGCGTCTAAGAAGCTGAGCAGTTCGTGCCCGGCTGTTGCGTCAATGAGCTGGTCAATATAGGGTAGCGGGAATGAGTCTTCTGGGCATGCTTTGTTCAAATATGTGAAGTCTATGCATATCCGCCATTTTTCGTTCTTCTTTTTC